ATTTCTCAGTAAAAATTTCACTTAGGGTGTATTTGATATGCCAAATTTTCTTTGGAAGTTGGAAAATAAATTCATTTTCCTTGCATTTGAATTGTTTGATTGACCACTTTTTCCCTCCCATTTGTTTTCCAGCCAACTGACTCACGCGTCCCAATTCAAGGTTTTGTGGGAATTCATACACTAAACTTTGATAAAAAAATGATTTTTTAAGAAACTTTTTTTATTCATGTTTTTTTTTTACTTTTTGGTAATGGAAACAAATTTTATAACCAAGTATGGAAAAAATTATCACTTTAATAGACAATTTTCATGTAAAATAAAGCCAAATGAATAGAAAATTTAAAAAAATTTCGGGTGAAAAATTATATCTATCAAACACACTTAATTAACAATTTCCTATAAAATATTTTCTAAACAATTATTTTTCTTGAAAATTATTTTCTTTCCACCAATCTTTCACCCTTGCAATCAAACGTACCCTTAAAATTAAACGACAGCACTTGAAGATTACGCCAATTATTTGATTGAAAAGCTTGTCGGCTACAAATATGTCCAATCACGACTAAAATCAGTCACAAATGTTGGACAGTAAAATATCTGGAAAAAGATTTTGTTGGAATAGTCTTTTTCAACTCTCTCTTCTCTTTTCTCTCTTTTTTTTTTTTTCTTTTTTTTTTTCCTTTTTTTTTTTTGGCTTTCTACGGTAGATATGCTTTTTAAATATACGATGCTGACAATGTCAAGAACGCAGAGATACTTCCAAGACCATTTTATCGTATTCGATGTCGTCCATTGACTCGATTGTAAATTAAATTTTCTAAAATCGATTGTTGCAATTGCCTTTTCATGCTTTTTGGATTATCTCTATTGTATTCTCACAATGCTTTACACGTTTCATTCTTCATTGTTGATTTCTTTACACCTTTAACTCCGTTTGTTTACTCATCGATCACGTTAGTTGAGAGTGACGGAAACAAAACCAACCTAAAACAAAACAGAATTTGAATAACCGAATTGATACAAATTAAGGACGAAAATCAAATTGAAACAAGCACATAAATTTGTCGACTATCGAATTTTTAACCAAAAATACTAATGTAAATATGATATGAAAGGGGTTTTAGAAGCTAATCATATATATGCCAATAGATTTGAATAATTTTAACGACTAGACCCTTTCTTTGTATCTCAAGAATCATTAAAAAAATTTTTTTTTTTTTTTGAGTAAGTCGAATTAAAAATCTTGAAATTATCAATGATGATTGATAAAGATCCTAGAAAGACTTGTCCAACTCAAAATTAGAGGGGATAGGGAGTGTGTCGTTTGGGTCCGGCCAAAGACAGGTCGGGCCTCACTCATAGAAACAGAAATTGGACATAGGCGAAGCCCAATAAAACTCAATTTGGGCCTTAGGGCTGGCTCATGAGATTTTGATTGTTATCTAAGGATTGTGGACCGTCCAATTGAATATTGTCTTTGTTTACTGTTGCACTTGCTGAAATTGCTGAGATTATAGGTGTTGAAGAATACAAGGCATCGCCTTGCAGCTTGAATAGGGATGACAATTCGAACTATTAAAATTGAAAATTGCGGTTAATCGAATCGAATGGAGCAAAGAAAATCGAATCGATGGTGCAATGGGGTGGTTATGGTTTTGATTTTGATTTTAATGACCCGTTTTGGGGTGGTGCGGGCATGATATTAAGCAACGATGCCCCGCCCTAAACCAATTACCCGTTAAAAAAAATTAATTGGATAATTGGGCTTTCCATCATTCTTTCCCAAAATTAATTGAGTAATTTTGACAATTGGGCTTCCCCAAATTCAAATTCGCAGGCGATTTGCTATTTGTACCTCAACTTCAAATTGTAGTAATCAGCAACGAATTCTACCATCTTGTGAGCAAAGTCTCTGAGTTGTTCTGTGTCCATTGGCTTCAAACCGTCTTCCATGTACAATTCAACAAAACTCAGATACATTATACTTGATTGCATTTTCTTTATAATATTATTTAAATATATGATGCGTGGCCAGAAAAATGTGATTTTTAGTCTGTTTTGCTTACTAATTTATGCATTCTTCAATTTCTCTATGTTTATAAGAAATAAAAAGTCGAATTATTAATTTGGTTACAGAATTAATGTGGCTTTTAGCTGATGATATTAATGAAATTCCAAAATTCAACATATATTTTGGGTTATATCGTTTGCGAAAGTTTGGTAATTTACCAATCTAGCAGGGAATAATTATTTTTTTATTTATGCTTTCATTTTTCATATATCCGTCGACGCAATTTTTATTTTTATTGTTATTGTCATTTACATTTCTCTATTTGCTAGGTACAATAGATGGTTTCTTTATCCCTTTTTAATGGATCAGAATAAAGAATTTTGATGATCTACCAATGCAGAATAGAAATTTATTTTCT